ATCACATTTCAATCATTACGGCGGGCCTTAAAGTAATAGATATATAGACAGGCCACTTATTCCATCCCTGCTCTTATTTTCCTACTAGTGATCTCAGTTTATTCCACTATAAAAAAATCATTTCATTTTTCCGAAACAATTATGAGTTGTAATATGTGCACTCGGAGACTTTTAGAACAGCTGAATGCAAAAATATCTGCACGAAACGCTTAACAAATTACTCCCTGAATATACCAGAATAAAGATGTATTCATATACTAAGTGTGGAAGGGTAAAACGCTGGCAGTTTCCATTTCCACGTCAGAGGTTATAACGTCAAATGTAATATCTCATTCACACGATGAAACAAATTGCTATACAATGCTATTTAAATTTAAAACATAATCATTCATGAGATTGAACATCTTATTCATATAAAGAAAGTGTCATCGGTTAACAGTATCTGTCGTCTACATGATAATTCTTTCACAAATAGCAGAACTGACTGTCACTTTTATAACGCAGCCTCAGATGATTGTGCGAGCGAGTTCAGCGGCATATCGTTGGCTCGAACCATGGACCTTCTAATCCACAATATAACATGCTAAACATTAGATCACACCAAATCCCATCTTTGTCAGAGCAATATATCTTGTTGGCAGCGGATTAAAATAAACTTAATTGATGTGTTTTTTATTATCTTACTGAAAATCCGTCTTGAGCAGATAAAGAAAGAAGTGTTCGAATTTATCACCTACTGTATTGTGCTGTATCATCAACATTATTAGTTGTAGCGTTATAATGCGACGGTCAATCTCACTATTCGATTACAGTAGCCTAAGAATTGGCGATGAGTGGTGTTAACTAGCTGCCTTCCCTTTAGTCTGTCACTTTTAAATTAGGGGACGGCTACCTCAAATAGCCTCAAGTAACTTTACGCGAAATTCACAAAACCAAACAAAACAAATTTATATTTAAAGTCACATTAAATAAATGTTATTAGATAAACAAACTTTCGTTCAAGTGAAGAGCTCTTTCGTGGAATTACGTAAGCTAAAAACTTCATAGTTTATTTTATCTCGTATTTATTATATAATTATATATAACTATGATGTATAATCTGAGGAATGGTTTTATTTTAATTTTTAAATGCATCGTACACTATTAATACATTTCATTTTATTAATGAGATATAATTTATGTTAGATTTATTCTCTGTAAAACATTTCCTTTCGCTTCATCGAGTACCATAATGATTAACAGTACCTTCTAGCTACCTTGTAAGGCCTATGATACTGATAGATACGTCGGCATTGTTTCTTTAATAATTATGTTTTAAATAATGGATACAGTAAGGTTCAACATTAAGCCTAAGTGTTTCTTGTTTTTTTTTTCGTTATGAATAAACTAATATTTATTGTTGTCAAATATTTCATTAAGTTCAATTTTCTAAAAAGCTTTATGCAATCATTTTTGTTATTTTCTTTTACTTACTTTTCCAAAGCTCCCTTTTCCTATGGCTCTAAGAATCAGAAAATCTTCAAAATCCACTGAAACAGGGAAAATATATATAATTTTTGAGAATAATCAAAACATTATCATTTCTTGTTATGAAACTGTATATAAATGTTTTGAAATATTCCAATATCGACACTTTCTAAACTATTATTATAATTTTCTTTAAGTTTTGCCTTTACCCATCTCGAAGCTGTTACTAATGAAGTATATATAAAACCACCATTCAGGAAACTAGAGAAACAAAATCGGTGTTTCCAGAATTTCAATTCAGCTAAACAGTTGGCATTGAGTTATTGTGTGACGAGTGGATTTTACCATCTTATCGATTTCTACATCCAAAACGTAGAGATAATTTGTACGTTTAACTAAAAAGAGTATTATATTTATTTAAACACGCACATTTGGTCTTACATTTTTATTTAATGTTCATGTACCATCTGACCCACATGCCCGAGCCACTAGATTGGTAAGATATTCTGTAACGTACATAAGTATTCACTGATATTAATTGATAGAAGACAATATATACTTGAATAAAATGACCTATAACTTTTGAAAGTTATCCTGGCACTTTAAATAAATTTTTAAACCTAAGAATATATAATAAATACAATTTGAAAATGTATTTAAAGTATTATGTACGCCAATATGCCCCCCCCCCCCAGTGGCACAGCGGTATGTCTGCGGACTTACAACGCTAGAAACCGGGTTTCAATACCCGTGGTGGGCAGAGCACAGATAGCCTTTGTGTAGCTTTATGCATAATTAAAAACAAACAAACAGTTCGCCAATATTGGTCGATATTGTTGCAAAGAGCATATTATGAATATATATATAAACCTTTCAAAGAAGAAGGGCAAAACAAAAAAATGCTATACAGGTAAATAACAGCGGAGAAAAACTAAAATATGAGAAAGGTAAAATGTATCTCAGTAATAGAGGTATTTGCAGACATAGGACCCAAACAGTGTCCGGGGATACACTTTCTAACACATTTAACTTACATTCATAAGCCTCACATGTGAAAGAAATAGAGTAGATACAGATGGTTAAGCTCATAACGCCACACACTTCAAACTGCCATTTACCATCTATAGCAATTAGTGGGGAAATATTTGTTTTTAACGAAACAGAAATACAAAAATAAAACAGATTTTACCACAGCGGTATAATAAGTAAAATCTTAGCTCCAGAAGTTGGCATCTCAGCCTCCACACTAGTTACATACCTAAATGAACAACATAACGAAACGTTAAATATCTAAGTTAAAGCTATTACTATTAGATAAATGACAAATTAAACTTTCCCTCCAAATTCCAGAACAGTGACAATAAAAAAATCAGTCAACCACTACCTTTATTATTATACTGTTAAACTGTGAGCTCAGTCGGTCGAATATCTTAAAAACTCACGTATCCTGCAAGCAACATTTAGTAATTACAAAGGATAACGCCGAACAGGTATGGTGTAATTTAGGTAATCTATGTTACAAAATGTTACTTTTTCTTACATTAACATTTTTCTACACTTTTATGTACACCTTCTCCAATATTATCATTTTTAAATGCAAATAAAGTTTTAATTTTATTATGCTTAAGCGGCTTATTAAGCCTTATGTCTAGAATGTTTATATTTCAAACTACTCTTGTTTATTGTAAGTTATACAGAATTGAAATAATTGCAAATTTATAACGTTTTTGCACAAAAATAAAGAACTGTAACTATTAGAGAAAAGTAGTCCATTGAATTGTAAATAAAGGTCCAAAAGTTTATTCAAGATATTTATTTCAATCAAACCATTTCTTATTTTACGTCCAAATCTAAGTATGTATGTTATACGTCACAATATTTTCTGTTTCGAATTCAGCAGTAACATGTTATTAATTCTTTAATTTTTTGAAAATAATTAAATCATCCGTATGTCATTTGACCTTAAGATGTCCTTATAAACAAATTTTCATGAAATTAAGATAAGTATTAGCAACAAATAAAACAATAATTACAACCAACAGTTATACCAACAACCTGTTTGTAATTATTAAAAACAATAAAGTATTATAAAAACAGAAATTAATAAGATATTTTATATTTTAATTATAAAGTCTTAAAAGAAGGCAGTTAAATTCGTACATTGATAAATAGGCCTACCAAGAATTCAATGCTCTCCATATATCGTACAAACAAATTTCCATGATTAAAGACTTAAAATAAAAAAGGTGTAATGAACCAGCCATTTGTATTTCATTTAAGGTTTATAGATCATGAAAAATTATTATTATCGTTTAATTTCCAGAAATCATGAACGTTACGATTAATATTTATTTATTGACAGATTTAAAATTTCAAACTTTCATATGACAAAATGACTGAATGTTCTATAACAACTTTTACTGAGCTAGCAAAAAACCTAAACTTAATTGGATTTCAAATAGTAGTTTTGAAATAGCATATAAATTTCTCAATCCTGACAATGTACTTAACACGCTCAGAATTGATTTTTTTAAAGATTTGATATAAAAGTTATAACTTCTTTAGCTAATTTATTTGTAATATGAAAAGTAGGTTAGTAGAATTTGACTCATTAATTACAATTTGAGCACATAAGTTTTTAAAAATAAAACCAAAATTACGACTTATTTCATTTATCTATTAAGAAGTTGTTGAATGATATTTTTGAAATAATAAAACAGGCAAATTTGTTGAATAATTCCTTAAGCTAAAATTTTTACATGATTCTTCAACAATTTCCAAGTTACCATTAATAATATGTATATTATTAGAATCACAAAACACATCATTACTAAACTCATAATGCATATTATATACAATCTTGGCCAAAATGTTTGCATATTTTGTTTATAACAAATAATCTCATTATTATTAAGATGGAATACATATACACTTAGCGCTGTCAAACTGAGAAATGCATTTCATATTAAACATCTACATATGTAATTTGTATAACGAGACAGGTTCTATGGACATCATGAACAATTTATTAGAACAGACATATGTAGAAAGATATGTAATTCAGCATTTTACCTATTACAGTAAAACCTTAACAAACAAGTATAATGACAAAATATAACATCCAATTATTATAATAGTGTATGCAACCTTATATCAGTTCATATTAGATATTAAGTACTTGGTTGGTCCTGCAAGGTAACGTGGCATGCTGTCGATGAGGTTATTGATGTAATCCGCCTTGATTTCATCCCAACTTGTTATTAGAAGGCGCTGCAATTCAGCTACAGTAGCTGGTTTAGGGTAGTAGTTAGCAATTTTCCAGCCCAGTTCTGTTCAACAGTTCTCAATGGGATTACAATCTGGAGACTTTGCTAGCTATGGCAATCTTGTAACGTCCTCCTGGTCAAGATAATCATATACGATACGCACACTGTGATCAGTGAGATTGTCATTCTGGAACACAAAGTTATTGCCATACCTTGCCCTAGCATATGGCAGAAATATCAACGCCAGGTGATGCCTGTAGGAGGCGCCATTAACGTTTCCCTGGAGGATACGAAGAGCAGTTTTTTCACCATGATGAATAGGTGCTCTAACATGTACTGCACCACCTCCTGTGTATTCCCTGTGGGAAAGACAGTCTTCCCTCATCTGTTGTCCAGGCAAAAGTAACGTGGCATGAACAAACACGAATCCTACCATTAGTTTTAACAAACCAGAAACAGGACTCATCTGAAAAGATAGAATGTCGCCAGTGTCCTAACTGTAAGTTGTCATGCTGTCTTACCCAATTAACACGGTGACGGTGGTGAATCCTGGTTAATACCGGAGTACAGATAGCCCTTCTTGCAAAATAACCTTGTTTTGTCAGTCTCCTATTCACGGTTCTTCTGGATACCCTCGAATGAATATGTTCATGCCATTTCTGTCATAAGGTGTTGCAAGACTACTTTCAACCTTGACGTGTTAACCTGATCAAAACACGGTAATCTCGGGCAGTAATTTTTGGCGTCTATAAGTACACTTTCCTATAAGAACGTTTCTTACAGTCCGGTGACGTTTCAGGATTCTGGATACAGTACTTTGAGGTTCCCTACTTTTCTGGCAATGTTTGTTTGATTCATACCATTTATGGACAGTCGAACACTTTGATGCCCTATAACTTCTGGCACGTGAAGAGGCATGATTCTACATCAAGTACAGAGAATTTGTCTAAACAAAGTGTTGATCTGTTTCGAAAAAGATTATACCAAATTCACACTTTTATACAAAACAGGTGTGTATGTGTGTTTTGACGAAAAACAAAAAAAATTCAAAACAACTTATATAGACCAGAATAATAATTCGTACATGTTTTTCCGATCACATGCTACTTTCTCTGTTACTGTTCGGGCATTTACTCAATAACTACTCCATGCATGTTGACAATAACATTAATACAGAATAGTAGGCAAGTATTTTAGACAAGACTGTATTTGTTTAAATTATTCTGAAATGCTTTATATCTACACATAAGAGGTCCTATGGGAATTTCACCTTCATAATTCGTAGCTGGCTGTAATGATTTAACAGGAAATAATTTTTACGCATAGGTTGATTCAAGATAGCTAGTAATTTTACTTCATCTAAACATTTATGTTCAACATTTACGATAAAGTAAGACTTGGTCCTATGTTTGTTTGTAAAGTATGAACGTTTAGAATAAATTTTATAACACCAACAATTAAATATTTTGTTTATTTATCTACGGGTCGCAATTTCGAATCCTCGTCACAACGAACATTGTCGTCCTTTCAGCCGTTGGAGCGTTATAATGTGACGGTCAATCCAACTATTCGTTGGTACAAGAGTAGCCCAAGAGTTGGCAGTGAGTGGTGTTAACTAGCTACCTTCCCTCTATTATATCACGGCTAAATTAGAGACGGCTAACGCAGATAATCTTCGTGTAGCTTTGCGTGAAATTCAAAACAAACATGTTGAAAAATAAAATCACGAATAGCATTAACTAAGAAGTTTTAGGTAAATTTTATTTGCACAAATCTCTAAAGATAGATTTATAGATATTAAGTTTAGTATAATAGCATATAGATAAACTATTACAAGTTTTACGAAAATCAATCAATTTTTGTATATTTTCTCTTTACTTGTAATTTCCTTTTAAATTCTCTATTAAAAAATTCAGCGATTATAAAATGCTTATCAATACAAAAATTGAAACTTAAAGAAAGAGTAGTGTTGATATATAAATGCTGATGTTTATCGTGCGTCACACGTGTGCAAGACTTCAATTTTGGGTAAAATTTGGCTACGCCTACATGAGACATTGAAGAGCAGAAAAACATTAAGATATTAAAAACTAATGGCATATTTGTATTTTTGTTCATGTTTCTCTCTTTTATATACCACTCCATATACAAATGAGTTTTTAATCAATACATGTATTTGATAACTAAATCTAGAAGTTCGAAGTTTCATTTATGTTTTAACAAGAAAAGTTTTAATTTAATCAATTCATAAAATCTGACAACTCTTCTATTGAGTGCTAGAAAGATTTATTTTTTTAGAAATAGAACATAATTAATTTACCAAATTAATAATGCACAATCCATAACCTATATATGGCAAAGAGAAAAATGTATAGAAATTTATAATGTACCCTTTTCAATGCAGGCCATGAGTTCTCAAGCACTTTTACTAATTTTTAGTGGAAAATTTAACACTTTGTAATATGGAAACATATTTTTCCTGGATTGACAGCAGTTCTAATAAAGGTATTTTGTACTTCCTTAATGTTAAAAGTTTTAGGTATTTATAGCAGAAGTTATCATATTTAATGTAATAGAATACATTTGACATTATGTAATACAACGTTCGTAGGTTAGTACTTCACAATTATAATATAATTAATCAATAATCAGTCATATTAGTGTATTTGTGATTGTAGTTTTTGCCTAGAAAAACACTGACATAACTTATACTTTCGAGCAAAAAGTATGTAATAAGTGAAACGTTTATCGAAAAACGTTTATTGGTTTAATTTTATATTTGAATTCAAATATAAAATTTAAATTATTTTTTTCCAATATTTTTATACTAATGGGAATAAAGTTAAACATAAAAATATAACTGTCACGTTGAACTAAATCAGCATCCATTTTACAATTTCTAATATACTGAAACAGAAATTTTCAAACGGTGAAAAGGGAAACGTTCTAATAATTCAATAAATTTTCAACATTTTTCTCACATTGTGACTTAAGCCAATTAACTTTCAACTCTCGAGGATTAAATGTTTGCTCGTATTGTAATTAAGAGGGTGAATAATATTTTTGACTCACCTAAGGAAGAGTACCATATAAATTGTTTGATGTGGAAAATATGTAGATAATACAAGTTATTTTGAATTTAGAAAATTAATGTTAATTAAACTACAGTTAGATAGTTAGTTGAAATAAGATATCTTCTAACCCAGGAGCTTGTGTCCATGATAGAGTTAAACAACCCATAACTCTAATACGGTGTTAATGAACAACTACGCGTGAAAATCAAAACTTTGTAACAATTATATTTATAAATATCATACAAATGTTTTGTTAATTATAACACAAAGGAAATGAGTCGCCATAAATGGCATCTTTTTACCTTTGATGATATTTTAAACCTTTTCAAACAACATGTCCAAAACAAAAAGCGTTGTATATAGAATACAGAAAAATAAAACTGGCCCGGCATGGCCACGTGGTTAGGGCGCTCGACTCGCAATCTGAGGGTTGCGGGTTCGAATTCCCGTCGCACCAAACATGCTCGCCCTTTCAACCATGAGGGTGTTATAATGTTTCGGCCAATCCCACTATTCGTTGGTAAAAGAGTAGCCCAAGAGTTGGCGGTGGGTGGTGATGACTAGCTGCCTTCCCTCTAGTCTTATACCGCTAAATTAGGGACGGCTAGCGCAGATAGCCCTCGTGTAGCTTTGCGCGAAATTCAAAACAAACAAACAAAATAAAACTACGGTGCATTTACATTGAACCTTCGTTCGTAAGCGTTACATGCAGAAGAAAAAATTTTATTTTTGTATAATTTATTTTCATTGAGAGAAGCTTCTTGCCCACAACTGGATGCAGACGAACAATGAAAGTTTTATATGAAGGATATTGTGGACTTGAACACCCATATATTGTGTGGGTCCTATTTTCTATTAACTCTCTTAATTTGGCATTTTACCTTTCCCTTATTGTAATCTGTACCTTAGTTGTATTTATTTAGCTTTTATTCTCGACGCTTTTTGTTTTTAGCGCTGTTGTTCGAGAAGTTGTTTTGAAATATCATCTCAGATAAGAAGATTCTGCTTTTACGTTTTTTTAGAGCTTACAGTTAACATAACTGTAGAGTAATACAATGGTGTACAAAAGTTAAGGAACAAACTGTTTATTGAACACTAAAGATTTGTTCCTTAACCTTTGAACACCAATGTAAATATTTACTAGAGATTACAATATAGTAAAGTTAAAGTGTGCCATAACACTGGTCGACAAAATCGAACTTTTTTTTCATCAAAGATTTAAACAAACTTTTCTAGACCACTTTTGCCCGCTGATTCCAAATATGTTTTCGGTTTTCTTCTAGCACATCTATTTATCGAAATATGACTGGTGTTAACTTCAGCACAATTTAGGTAATAATCACACATTAGGCTAGATAACCATTAGGCTAGATTTGTTGGCCAAGTGTAATAAGAGAGGTATCTGTGGAAAAGGGACCCACACTGTGCTGAGAATACGCGTCTATCAGATTTACTCTTATTTCTCAATGCTCATATATCTATATATTTGTTAACTTATATAAAGTGAGATACAAGAAACATTAAAAAAAATGCAAACCAATAGAAATTCGATCATATGAAGCATAACAATTCAAGGCTTCGGATAACAACAATGTACAACGTAGACAAAATAGAAGTTTACTAAAACAAAAGAGCTATAAGTAGAAAATTAAATTCCAACAAGAAATGTTAGATTTTGATGTAGAGACTAAAAACTCTTCTTTCCAAATTTATCTCTAACTCTATCATAACTCGGACCTGTAGGTTTTGACAATCATTCAGCTTTCATATTTAATTCTTTAAAACAATATATATATATAAAGAAACATCACATATCTAATTTGATGGCTGGTGTTGTTTGGCCGAAACATTGCACACATAATCTTTCATTCCGTTACAATGATTTGACCACTTCTTTATTTATTTTCAGATGTCTAATGCCACAGTGGAATTATGAGTCAAAAGATAAAATATTTTTTTAAAACAATAATTATGAGATATATTCAAAGTAATAATATCCAGTGGCGTAGGGAGCGGAAAGGGGAGGCTGCTCCCCTATTTTCAATCTGTCCAAGTAAAAATGCATCAAAATTAGGAAATCTACTCTCAGAAAAATCAGGAGAATGCATAAAATTTAATCCAGAACTCAAGAACTTCCAGCGCCCTAAGAACAGCCCTGGATCCCGGCAATTCGTTTCGCTCAAATAAACCTTTGGGCCCCACACTTTTAATTTGTCACCTACACCTCTGATATCTATACACCTTTTCGGAGACCAGTTATCTAGGTGAGTATAAGTTAAATTATGGGTTTCTAGTCTGATGTTCTTTAATCATATTTAATGGGTAAAGATTCCATCTTGTATGATATAAAATATTCTGTTAGTTACTAAAGATCATAGGTTCACTTACATCAAATATTTCGTTACCAGACCTACCATGAGTCCTCATCAGTTTTCCAACTATTAAAATATTCTGTATATTAACTAATTGTGATTTCTTTACAGTCTTAAGTAGCTTATGTAAATTGATGTTGTTTGGCCTCAATGGCCCTTAAAATTAAAAACTTGGTAGCTTGCAATCCCTAGACTGGGCTATCATCATCATTAATATAAAAACATACTTACAAAAAACATTATATTATTCTGAAATAAAGAGGTATCAAGATGAGGTACCACAATTTTAAGTGAGGGTACGTTTGAACGTACAGTAACTTCGGTTTCCTTAATACTAATATTTTACCCTTACCTTCTCTGTTTTCTGTAGTTCGAAGCACATCTTTATGTTTCTTCTTATTTGTAGACTGTCCACTGCCCATTTTTTTACTGATCTCAACTGAATTTACCCTAGAATATCTACAAAACACTCGTAGTATTTAGTGAGTGCATGCTAAGTCACAATGAAGGAGGAAAGTTCTTATTTGCCGTTTCTGGAAGAACAGTAATGACTTTCTAAGACGTCTTACAGTTTTAGCGTATTCATTCCGCAGTTGACACTAGAGAACTTTGACAGTATAGATTTCAAAACCTAACAATTGAAATACAAAAATTTCACTCATCTTTCTAAAATGCAATTTCCTTTGATAACATAATATATTTAATCTAGTTCATCAAAGTACGTAATCTTTTTATTTAGGATCAGATCGATAGCACCCTGTATAGTGTTGGCTGTATTAAACCATAAACCATGCTTACTGTTGTCCGGTTCCATAGCAACGTATTTTGTTCATAAACACATTATTTAAGTATAACCATTACGCCTGTTTCTCTGAAACAAAGATATTACATCCTAAGTTGCGTAGCTTGTTATAGGTTAGATTTAAAATCATGGCATCTACTCTCCTGTAACGTACTATTCAATGAACCCACGATAACTTCATTTGCCAAACTTTTTTCACCTTTGAAATTATTAAAGTCTATAGTTTAATCACAAATTGCGCTTATGTCCACCGTAACATAAAAATTCTAAACATCAATCCAGTACAATTTTCTAATAAAGGTTACAGTCTATTCTAGTTTGAATTGTTGTGCTAAACAATTTCATAAATCTAAACCTTGGCAACTTGCATGAAATGACGAAAACAACACGTTATTCTCATCCGTAAAGTTCGAGGGTTTGTTCGAAAAGAGAGATTACGAATGCTCACCCAACTCCTTTCCGTTCCGTTGTCTTTATGAGAAGTAAATGGAGCATGCTTCCCGCTTCTCACAGTTTCTAACATCCTGGACGTCAATATCAGTGAGATATGAAGTGCAAAATCAGACAAAAGAACGTTATGTTATACTTTATAAAGAAATAAGAAAAATATTAATGTTGATGTGATGTTTTTTGTTTCCATAAACAAAAATATTTTATTAGCATTTTCTTTCCAGATAAAAACTATGTTAATGTAAACTCGACGTTCTTTAGCACAATAGTGCTCCAAACATACAAATTAATTTGTTATAAACAGTCGGAGTATTTTTGTATTTTTGTATTTGGTGATGTACAATAAAAGTAACACTCTTTAAATAATCTTTTAGGACAGAAGCTTGCACTCTATAAGGTAACGCTTTAGTCCTTTCTAAGGGATAGAAAACTATAATATCAACCCTGTTATTGTACAAATAATATTATATTTATTCTATTAATTTGAGCCGTACGTCCTTCACGTATTTAAACTTAAACGCGTCGCTACACTGCATCTACAGTGAACTAACGCCAATAATTTTTCATGAAATAATAATAATTTAGTTTTTTTCAAATGTTGAATAGAACAGGTCTCTAAATACATACACCTGAACGGACTACAACGTCATATTCACAATACAAATATGAAAATGAAAATACTCGTATTAAACAGTTTGTTATTATTTGTGAATCTAAATGAATTTAGTTAACATATTTACTTACTCCAGATTTTTGTAGGGGATTTACTTGATCTAAAACTTGAAAACGTCTCGTGTGAATTTTTACGATGATTGGAATCTACCTATCTGTACGTAATTATTTATGTCTCTGCACATCTTGTTGTCAATAACTGCGTGTATATGTATATATATAATGATAGTGATGTGTTTTGACTAGTCGTTAAATTATCCACGTCTTGATGTTAGACAAAGACATTATAGACAATGCAAATTACACAGCTTTACAGCGTTGGAGGGATGGTCACTAGTCTTGGAAGGAAATAACTCTGGATGCATCAGACTGCAAAGAACCTAATGTAAGTATCTTTTGTAAAGTCGAAAACCTTGTTTATTCGGATTTATTGATTCAACAAAGAAAAACCCCGGATAGAAGTTGCACATTGTTTCATTTGTTCTAAAGATACGCAGGAAGATGAAAAACAGTCTTCTTGAAGAATAAACACTGTTTTAACTAGCCGGAACATATGTTTGAGTGAAATCAGCACATGAATATAGCAGGTAATAAATTGTTTTTTTTTCTATGATTATAATCTATATTTAATTAAAAACTTTAATTACTCATCAAACAAACCATATACCATCAACTGATTTATTTGAATAGAACAACTGGTTTGAGTGGAAAACAATAAACTCCTCTTTCTGCCGTAATATAAGCTAAAATGTCAGTGTATTTAAAAAAAATATAATTGTAATAATATATATCTATCGCGATTATTTTATCTCTTAGGCTAATAGACTATGTACATTTTCAAACTGTAAACGGTAAAACAAACTTGATCATCTTAATTTAATCAGAACAAACGCATTTACAATAATGTGTCTGAGAGAAAGTGGTATTTTAGTTTCTTAATTAAAATATGCAATGATATGTCTGCACACTTGTTTATAAGTAATTTGTGATATGTTTGTAATTAAGCATAAAGCTATCACGAGAAAAGAAACCCAACTGTTAGCGCTATAAGCCCTCAGACTTACCGCTGACCCACAGGGAGCTGTAATCTGTATAAAATAAATATATATTTCAAATAAACTTGCTTTGTCCGCCTATACACTGAAAATGCGCTGATACACCCACTTCACGAAACACGAATTATCAAAAATGAAAAAAAGAAAAAAAACCTCTTGCGCTTAGAATTAAACGAACAGATAAATTGCAACTTGTGTCTATAAATTATTCATGTTGTTAGAAAACGTTGCACAGGAGCCGCAGTGATTTGATATATCGCCTGATATTGACGATAGGGAGGTAAATTGTTCTATCTCGTAAGAATTGATTTATGCTAAAATGTTTCAAACTTTCATTGCACCTGCGTTATTTTGTTTTCTGTAGTATATTCACGGTAATCATAAGTGGAACAGCGCTATAACTGGTGAATCTAGTCCTGTCCAGTTATTACTGGTAGCAGCAATTATAATTTGATTGCTTTCTGGAAGTTACTAGAACGTTCTCAGATGAGAATTACTGTCGTAGAGAGAGTTTTCAATGGATAATTACTTTAAGGAATTAGTTACATCATTCTACGAATAGATAAAATTACTTTTCGAAATTGGGTATAACATCCGTTTCGCCAGTATTAGTTTTTATCAAAGTAAAATACCCCTTTTTTCGTGAAAACTTATGTACTGTAGTTTATATCCTTTCTTAGAGCATCTATGTCCATATCATCTTAAAAAAAAAGAGAACTTTATATAATCAAGTCATTTCACTAAATAAACGTGTAAAGTTTATTTCATTGCTAAAGTCATACAAAACATCTTGATGCTTTAATACAATATCTTTTTATTGTAAGCGTTCTTAAATCATGATTTATAGATTTTGAATCCTTACCTGATTTTATCTTTTTATTTGTATGGATGATGTCCTCTGGTGGATCAGTGGTGATTATGAGGTCTTATCACGCTAAAAATCAGGTCTCGATACCTGCAGTGGACAGAACACGTATATAGTCCATTGTGCAGCTTTGTGTTTAACAACCAAACAAGCTGATATTCCAATTTTCTTTTGAGTCTAGTTACTACACTTTTTTCCAACCACCATATCTGCCTAATAACATACACAATCGCATCATCGTTGTAGTCCTACAGCAAAAATCTGATACTTATTAAGAATAGACGAAGTTATGCACATCGCACCCCAAAGGACTTACTTAGTTTGTTTGTTGCTAAGTGCAAAGCTACATAATGAGCTACCTGTGCTCTGCCCGCCGCGGGTATCCAAACCCGATTTTTAACGTCATAAACCTTTAGACTTGCCGCAGAGCTACAAAGATGCCAGCCCAAAAAAAGTATGCTATGTAAATAAAGCAGTTAAAAATGATGTTCATTGAACTGTTAGAACATACTTAAACATATAAAAAAGCCATTTTCTTGCAACCTACACCAAACACTTCTGTCCTATCCCACCACGAATATAACAGAGTAATAATTGAGTCATTGCACAAGACAAAGGTCCGGCATGGCCAGGTGGTTAGGGAGCTCGACTCGCAATCTGCGGGTCGCGGAGTCGAATCCCCGTCCCACCAAACATACTCGCCCTTTCAGACGTAGGGGCGATATAATGTGACGGTCAATTCCACTATTCGTTGGTAAAAGGTAGCCCAAGAGTTGGCGGTGGGTGGTGATGACTAGCCGCCTTCCCTCTAGTCTTACAGTGCTAAATTAGGGACGGCTAGCGCAGATAGCCCTCGTGCAGCTTTGCGCAAAATTCAAAACAAACAAACACAAGACAAAAAGTATCTGGCCAATAGCTTCCATTTTTTCCAGACAACAAAATCCTTTAGTATAAATGACCTTTCATTAGAAAAAAGTTGGTGTAAAGAACATGTAATCCTTGTAGCGAAACGTTATTGACCTTTACATAAAAACGCTTCACTTAGACATGGTAAAAAGAAGAAAAGCTCAGACATGACCACCATATAAAATATCTCATGTATCAAAATTGTTGAATCTAAACTAATTTTGTTATAACTCGTAATTTCAATGAAAGTTTTATGAACTTTCTTATATCTGATTTTCATTATATTTATTTTACCTATTCTGCAAAAGTAAAAACCCATTCCGTAATTTTAACTCTCATCTACAAAATAAGAGCCGAAGGAATTACAATGTCCCTCCGAAGCCTTCTTTCAAAATGCTGCCATTATTATAATCAAATAAATAACCAGAATTGTTGTACGTTAGTATGGAAAATCTATAAATTTCATTGTGATAAAGTAATAAGTATTACCGTACGTTTTTTTACTTTATATGAACATTTCTTGCCCTATGTTCAATGGTTTAACCCTTTCTTCCCTATTTGTTTACAGTTAGTTTAACGTTAAGTTGTGGCTGTTTCGTTTATGAACACCAAATATTACAGCGCTTCTTCTCACCTTTACGTGTATGTTTCGCTGTTGAAATAACTGCTAATTTCACCTTTCCGTATCTTGAAAGAATATATCTTTATTTAGATATTTTCAAAGAAATTGTTCTAAATGTTTATGCACGTATTCTGTTGTAGTTAGTGGCGTTCTCGCAAATAAAATGTGGATAGGTTGTAAACTTATATTAGTCTTCTAGTTGGACACTGTGGTCGCTGGACCCGCTACAGGATCAAAAAGGTTAGCTTGCTGGTTCGCCATTTCTTCTGAATAATTAAAGAAAATATTAAATATAAATGTATGGTGTTGAAATAAGTAGATAATATAGTTTTAAACAACCTCACCATAGTTCCGTTGTGTCATAAATATTGATGAAAAATTACACTTCACCAACTTAATTCAGTTCACTTTGTAATTGTTGTTGTTGTCAAGCAATTTGCTGATATAAATAATGACTGAACCATTGGTGTATCTGTCATATACCAGCTGGTCTGAAGAGCTCTGCTACTGGCAGAAAAACCTCGCCACTGGATATAGCAGATATAATATGTATATATAGGTATATATGTTAAAGAGTTCTTTTATTTTTCACCAAAAGGTAAAAGAGAATTTGTGACGTAGAGGGAGGCCTAATACATTCTTTGATTGGCCGTACCCTCTGCTGTGGACTGCAGTTTCGTCTATTCAAGGCTCATTAGATAGGTTGGGTCACTAAACCAAAGAAATACCACTAGGCCTCTTACAATGGTGAAATGTGTGTAATATTTATGGTTGTCATATTATCATACACGCTACCTTCATTCGGAAGCTCTTATTAATTACTAGCTAACCGTAACGTACCACAATGACTGTTCTATGTGGATTGTACCTGCTTTATCTGTTTC